TCAGTCAATGTCGTGGTCTGCTACACTACGGAACGTTCATAACACTGTAAATTGAAAACCCTTAGAAAACCCTACGGAAACAGTGTGAATCCCCTTGCGAAGCCCTATCCGAATTTTACACAGCCCCAAGTACTCGTAAGCCGGGCCTGTGAAGCCAAGGAACGTTGGCTTTCAGCAGCTTCATTCCCTGCTCCGCCTCTCCAAAGAGAGCGGGACTACATGGTCTTTGCGAGGGCTGGCGATGACTTTAGATCTTTTCAGCTTCTCAAGGTCGTACCCGAACTCCCTCACAAGTAGGTGCAACAATAGCAGAACACCCATAAACAGGCTATTAGTCTACATGCCTTTGGGGTCCAGCTAGGGTGAAGGCTGGTTTAGGGTCTTGGAGAGCGGACTTCGTCCCAGTGAAATCCCCCTGGAAGGGCCAGAGGCTCGCAAACCCCAAGGCCCTAAACCCCTAACCCTCAAGCCTTAAGCCCTAAACCCCCGAAACCCTAAGCCGTAAACCCAAGACCCCCCAACCCCTGAACCCCTGAACCCCTAAACCCTTAAGCCCCTGAGCCCTGAACTTCTGAACCCTTGAACCCCCAAACCTTGAACTCCCCCACTCCTAAACCCCCAAACACCAAAAAGTGCGCCTGAAGTTCGAGAGCACCGCCCCTGGTCCTGGTACGTAGAGCAATGACTTTAAACAAGAGGGAGTTTAGGATTTAGGGCTTTAGGGCTTAGAGTTTCAGCACTCACACTCGGACATGCCTAGGCGAGGGTTCACTGGTCGGGGCATGAGCTCATTGACTCTGGCATAGCACGTATCACCATACCCGGAACATTTACAGGCACCTACGGCGCACTCGGACTCCCTGGCTCACATGAAACCCACTAAGGACACGCAGCAGTCTCTGTCTTCTGAGCACCGCTGGGGTTCCATCACGCAAATTCCATCACTCGCATCTATAGGGCTTAGAGTTTAGGGTTAGGGGTCCTTCAGGGTTTTCTCAAGGGTGGGGCTTGCACGTTGGCGTTAAGGGAATCTAGGGTTTTGTGTTAGGGTGTAGGGTATATAGGGATGGTATAGTAGGCTTCATCACTCTCAACCATGTCAGGGATGCCCTCCAGTCGAAACCTTACGGTTGTGCATGAGGTAACAACATCTATAACTACTCATGATCCTGATTGAAAGTACTTACTCATGTGCTTCCTAAGCCCCATGAGACTCCAAGCACTTGAAGAATGATGCATCATTTAGGAGTCCTGAGACTATATGAGAGAGGGGCCTTCACAGTTAGATCTGGGCTTTGGGTATCTATGGGTATCTGTAAACTGAAAGTTACTGAAAATGCATGGACATGCTCCAGCCACACTTCTGAACGCTGACTCGTAAGCCTCACAAACTCCCGATCCGAAATGCCTGTCGATCGCCGCCATTGCAAAGGATCAGAAGATAAGGCTCAGTGCGGTGGCGATGCTTCTTGAAACCCAGCTGGCTGCGATAAGTCCGGATCCATAGGGGCTAACTCTACAGGGTTTGGGGTTTAGGACTTAGAGCTTGGGGTTTAAGGCTGCAGTGCGAGCCCCTTGTTGCACACCACGACTAGGTACTTCATTATAAAGGAACCTAAGGAATAGTACTACTACAAAAGACTTCTATATATTAGTTCATACATGCTACACTCGGCCAGGGACTTCAAAATGCGGCTTTTGACACGTTTTTTGGTTTCCGCTTGCTTGGATTCAGGAGTTAGGCTCGAAACTGCTAGGTTCATTATCTAGGGTTTGGGGTTGATAATAGTTTCAAAGAAAATGGACTTGCCAGGCAAGGAGGCGCAAACGCTCTTCGAGTGCGGTTGAAGGGTTGCGGGCGATTCCGGATTGTTCAATTTCTGAAGCACGCCCGCCTCATTTGCCGATCTCGGTTCATCGTGTATATCTTAAACACATCCCCTCATTTGGCTCTTCAGGTTCATCATATACCCAAAACGCAAACCCTCATTTGTCTTAAACATGCCCCCTCGGCCCTCAATTGGCGATACCGGTTAATCCTATATCCTGAACACGCCCCTCACTTGCCGAGTCCGGTTCATCACATATCCTAAACACGCCCCCTCATTTGGGGGATCTATTCATCCAACAACTTAAGCACGTGCCCTCATTTGGCGATTCCGGTTCATCATACATCTTCAGAGCGCCCCCTCACTTGGCGATTCCGGTATCATCTATCTGACAGCCCCTCATCTGGCGATTCCGATTCATCATATATCTTAAACACGCATCCTCCTCCTCCTCATCATCATCATCATCGCCATCATCATCATCACATTCCCATATGTGTATGTATATATATATACACGCAAACACATGTGTATATATATATATGTATTAATTGTATACTTGGCGATGCCGGTTAACCATATATCTTGCGCATGCCCCCTAACTTGGCGATTCCAGTTCATCATATATCATATCTTATAAGCACGCCCCTCATTTGGCGATTCCGGTTCATCATATACAGTAGCTTAAACAGCCCCCCTCATTTGGCGATTCCGATTCGTTCAATTTCTGAAGCTCGCCCCCCTCATTTGCGGGTCTCGGTTCATCGTATGTTTCTTGCACATCCCCTCTTTTGGCTATTTTTGGTTCACCATACACAAAACACAGACCCTCAGCTATATCTTCAACATGCCCTCTCAATTGGCGGGATTTCGCGATTCCGGTTCGTTCAATTTCTGAAGCACGCCCCCTCACTTGGCGATTCCGATATCATATGAGGGAGGGAGGGAGGGAGGGAGGGAGGCCAAAACCCATGGAAATGCAGGATTTCTCAAAGGGCAGAAAGTCAGAAGTCACAAGTGACCCCTCTATCGTAAAGGTGTTGCAAGTTTCAGGGAGCGGGAGGGCTTGCCACTATGAAACGACTGCCGTGAGTACCCCGGGCTTTGCTCAAAACTTCCAGTAGAATACCATGACCGAACCTGCAGGGCTGTAGACTGATCCCGGGGGTCACCCGGAGCAATCGAGATGACAATGCATGCTTCTACAATCGATGTCGACGATGTCGATCTTTCAAACCTCCCGGCCAGCGTCTGGCTATAGAATGACTTCCCTGAGTTACCCTGGATTTTCGTAGGAGAGAACAAACAAGAACTCTATAGAATGACCCCCCCCCCAGCGTTCTCACAAGCCAATCCCCTCTATAAAATGCCCCCCTATGACATGGCCCAAACCGATTTAATAGAGAACAAGGGTTGGTCATTTCATAGAGCCATAAGGTACCCCCATCATATTGTCGACGATGATGGCGAGACATCACCAACTGCGCATCTGGTCCCAGCCTTCGGCAGTTTGCCAAAGGGAGTGGACGAGAGCGGCAAAGATGCCTTGGGAACATTACACACGAAAATCTATGTCGCGCAACATGAACCGAAAGGGTGCACAAGAAAGTCATGCAGGGGCGCATTACATCAGACTGGCCGATGCTGGGCCAGGCAACTCATGTCGAGCATCATGTCCAGCGACTCGCTTTCTCTCCAGATCGCAAATACAGCCGACTCTGGTCAGATTCATAAGCCTGTAGCCACCTAGCAAGCCTACTGAGCCCTCTGTTCCACGATTTCCATGCCAGTTCGTTGGCACTGCTGGAACAGGGACGGAGCTAAACCATGCACAACCTACCATTATCTGAAAATGCCGATTCTGAATTAGCTGCCCATTTGCTGGAGACGATGTTTCCACCAGGATGCGTCTATCGGAGCACAAGAATTCTTCGCTTCGATGCAACAACCACCACAGGGTTAGTGCTTTGTTCGAAGAGGTGGTAAGAAGAGGTCGAGCTGTAGCCGCCCATTAACTTTTCAATCAACGCCTCACTGTGTCGACATCGCGAGCACCTTTCGCAAGGAATCTGCTGCTGCCGGCTTCTGGCAGTTTCCTGCGTTGACACTCCGTTCACGACGTTCATGTCCGACTGCGAAGCACCCATGCAGGCCTGCCTTCTTTGAAGGTCTGCTTGAAGTTCAGGTATCTTCAGATGCGATGTTCACATCCGTGCAAGTGAATTCGAAGGGCTGCACCAGGGCTGTCGCTTCGGTCAAGTGATGCTCAGCTATCACCTCAGCACCGGACACCAACAGCTGCATGTCGAATTCCGTCGTAGCACCGCTAAACAAGAAGCCAAGGAGCGGGAATTCACACTGAGCATCATGGCCTGGCTACTACACATGTACGCGTCGCACGTGCTGCAAAAATCGTGGCAACCGACCTTTGAACTGAACACTTTCTTCTGCATTTTCATGCAGCCGTTGCTCTGTGTGCAGATGCTGTATGCGGTTATCTTGTACGTGGTCCATCTCTGAGCGCATGCCAGCCAGTACTCCTTAAGTCACTTTACGTGCTATATAGACTAATACGGAGTCTAACCTAACACACGCGCACATCTCATCACATGTTTGCCTGCCTGTGAGTTGAATGAGTTGTCGGACCCGCTGGCCATGTGCCTCACCCGTGTGTGCGTCAGATGTAATGCGCAATAACACCGGCATTTTCAGCGTGCGCCGTGAGTGGGTTATGTGGATGAATAAGTTGCAGTGAGTTGTAGAAGCCTGTTATGTTGCGAAACGTAGCAGTCGTTCCTCGCGTGTGCTGAGCTGCTTCCGCATGCGACATGTCGGAGCTGCTGTTTAAGCAACGGGCTTAGGTAATGCCCGCACACATGACACTTGCACGTGGATGAAAAATGAGAACATCCTGCATCTGTCAGAGCTGTTACCGGCTATACCTTTGCAGTTAGCCATAACACCGCCGTGCCCAACTGCCTCGAATCACTGGTGTGGAATTGTAGTCTTTCTGGCCAGGCGGGCGCAAGGCATGCGCCCGCGGACGTGCATGCGGGCGATTGCGTGCGTGCGCGCGCTCTGTGCACCCGCCTCGTGCTCCGTTGCAAATGCTGTCTGGAGTGTCGCCACGACCTTGTGGAGCCTGGAAGGACTGAGAGTCACCGCATATCACACAAGACCCACAGTGTACAGTAGATGCACAGTAAATGTAGATCCACACAGGCATGTGAAAGCAAGCATGCATACGTGTATGTGAGTGTGTGTACCACTGCAGACCCGAAGTCCGAGCTGATGCAAACTGCGCTCCATAGTGCAGCAAATGGCTCAGTGTCTAGTCCCGCCAGCCGCCGGTAGTCCTGCACGGAGACAGGAACTGACCACCTTGTGTGTTTCTGTGGGCTCTTTACCAAGACTGACCGATAAGAATCTTGATCAAAGGTCTCTCCGTCTCCGGCACGTTGGCAGAGGCAAGCGTCCCGTTGAAAACTCTTCGTTGTGGATGGTTGTTGCACAGCTGATGCCACTGCCAGATGCAGCTGAAAATAAAGGGATGCGAGTTCACATGACATGACAGCACCATGCATTTCACAGGTGAGCTTGTGAAAGTTACAGACTACGGTGCTCCGCCTCAGAGAGGAGGCCACAGTGCTGCTCCATATGGTGCCTAGGACCACGGGGGCATAGTTCGCACCGCTTCAGCTGGGATATCGTATGGCCTGATCTCCTATATCAGCTTTCCCGGCTTCGTACTTGCAAACAGGTCAGATCTTCGGACCACTCCCTAAAGCTCATCAGGTTAAAGCATCAATCTTGTAGCCTTCCTGCCTTCTGCGCTTAGTCTTCTTTTGGTTCTGTTGACAGGACACCGCCCACGCCTGCATCTTGTCTGTGCCGGTTGCAAACATAATGTGTGCAATCAGTGTTTCACCTGACGACAGCAGAATGCAGCGCTTGCATATACATACATATACATAAGTATAGATTTTAAGTTCTGTTATGTGATGTTATGCACATGTTGTGTTATGTTCTGGTACGTTATGTTGCAGTAAGTACGAACACTATATTCTATCATGTCAAATCACATTAAAGTATAACTATAACATATTCTGCAATACTATACTGAAATAAGTGTAACGTATGATGTATAGCACGCATGAGAGAGATAGAGAGACAAATCGTAAACGATTCTGCGCCTACTTACAATGAGTACGCTTTGTACCTAACTATACCTACATGTGAGATTCAACATGCTTCAACATCTGATGTTACTAACAATCAGGGGCTTCGGCATGCTGCGGGCCCAACATGCTCGCTCATGTCCCTGAGCTAGCAGGGAGGTTGTGAAAGTACTGCTGCAAGAATCGAAAGCCATGCAGCTGCTTGAATCATCGTGTATAAATGCAAAATTGCCCGAGTGTCCATCCCTGAAACCCGCCCATCAACAATTGCTTTTACGCGGCAGCCGCGCTCGCAGCTCTTTAGCGAGGGCTTTTCTCCGCTTTGCCAAACGCCGGAGCTGGCGCCCGGGTTCCGCAAAGGACTGTGCCTTGAGAAGGATTTGGTTCCTAGGCTTTGATAACTGTCATGGGCAACAATGCCATAGAATCGTACAGTTACGAGCATCAGAATGTGCTGGACAAGGCTTTGATGGGCAAAAGGAAGTCGATGGGCCAGAGGACGTTTCTGCTATTCTCAATAGAGTAGCTTCTCTTGGCGGATTCAACCTGACCCCCGCAAACCGTGTAGTGCGCACTAGGGGGCTCCAACTTTCAATTGGTTAGCGTGCGCACACTCTCCGAGTGACCTAGGTCTCCTTGTGGTCTCCCCTGGTGGTCTTCTGGTGATCTCGTGGTGGTCTCCTGGTGGTTCCTCCTGGTCTGGTGGTCGTTGTGGAAGTCATGGTCGTCAAGGTGCTCTATCACTGTTTAGGGATGCATTATGGCAACCTTTCCTCAGTTTGCAGGGATGTTTCTGAACATATGGTGAGAAGAATCAGGCTGCAGCACTGCTAGCTCAAGGGCCCAAGGGACTCGTCAGAACCAAAAAGGAACCGGTTCACCACACTCTTCGCCCCGGACCCCAAACAGAACATGCCTCTAGCCATCGTTCCGGTGGCGGCGGCAAGCGGCTGTGTCTATCCCGCGATGCCTGCAGTTTGCGCTTCTTTGCCACTCGCACGGAACATCCAGGACGATGCTTCGAGAGGCTGCGCCTGTTCAGATGGATTCGACTCCACTTGGTCTGGCCGCGCAGCTCTCGCCATCGAGTCTGTCTCGGCGACCCGCAGCTGCGAATCAACATACCTGACACACTTCGATGCCGGTTCACGATCTCCGGTTTCGAGTGAGCGTAGCAAACAACGAGCTTGGAAATCGAGTCTATAGACCTATAAACCAATATCGAAAATTATGGGACTGCGACGACAGATCAATTCAAGCTTGCGGTTAGAAGGTTTCAGAAGTGTGCCATGAACTCCTCCTCACCATGGAAGAGACATAGCTGCTATCGCCGGTAGCACGAGAACTCCTGCTCTACCGCATGCCTACCTGCCTGCTCGTCGAGGGCCCGGACTGCCGCTGGACTAGTGCCTGCGCTGCTGTGCGGCTTTCCGACATCCTCTTCTACGCTGTGGTCGGCATTGCAACTAACTTGAAATAGAGGCCGATTCTGCAGAAAATAGTTCTCGGACCGTACTGGGGCTTCAATTGCATTCTTGCACTGCGTTTTTCAACAAAGCATGTCTGTGGAGAAATCCAGGAGACTGGTGCCACGGCCTGGCCTGACGGCTTCTGGTAGCATGTACCTGGTCCTGCCTCTCTTTCGCGAGATCCTCCCGAAGCCTCAAAAAGCGCTTTGAACGGACGAGGCTTGCTATCGTCAATGAAACGAAACAGCCGGAGCTTCAGGCATGCGGTCTGTAATGGTCTGTACAGCCAAGACTCCCGGTTCTGCTTGATCTTTGGGAGCTTGGTCGAGAGCCAAACCTCAGCTGCACTTCCGCCTTTGAGCATTCGAGCATGCAAAGAACTATCTGCGGCCAACCAGCGATGCCTGGGACTGTTCCTCGGCCTGTTGCACACTGCACCTTGTGACAGGGGCTTTTGCGATTTTGTGTGGACATTGTCTGGCTACTGTGAGTTTGAGAACTCCTATTAATTCTGACATCATTCCAGCGGTGACAAGACACGGGTGGTGCGGTGGGTGCTCAATGTCGCGCGTGGCTTTCCTGCCGTTGGCTTGAAACGTGAACGCCTGCAACCAGCCCCCGGTTGTCGAACAAAAAACTGCGACAGTCGAAATACTTCACGTTTTGAGCATGACTGTCAGAACCACTGGTGCTAGAACGAATACTACGACGACACGACGGCGCCTAATCCCACTATTATCACCGCCAGCACCACTGCGACAAACACTGCTTCCGTCCCTACACACTCCAGCTCCAATTGGGCAAAGCCTGTTCTGGAGCCATCTTGCTTCCTACAATACTTCTTGATTGGGGGGGCGGGGGGGAGGGGGGGGAGGGGGGGAGGGGCGGGAGTGGGTTGGTTCGTCCGCCCAAGCAAACTTAAGGTGTCCCTGACCACTGCGACAACGACTACTGCTCGTGCTCAAATTGCCACGATCACGACGGAAGAAGAGAATAAGCAGTAGTCGTCGGCATCGCCGTCGTCGTCGTAGCCGTCGTCGCAGTCGCAGCCACAGCGCAGTCGCAGCAGCAGTAGTAGTAGTCGTCGTCGTCGTAGTAGTAGCGGTAGTAGTAGTAGTAGTAGTAGTAGTAGCAGAATTGTAGTAGTAGTAGTAGTAGTAGCAGCAGGAGGAGTAGTAGTAGTAGTAGCAGTAGGAGTAGCAGCAGCAGCAGCAGCGCGAGTAGGAGTAGGAGTAGGAGCAGGAGCAGGAGCAGGAGCAGGAGCAGGAGCAGGAGTAGGAGTAGGAGCAGTAGTAGTAGTCGTCGTCGTCGTCGTAGTGGTAATAGTAGTAGTAGTAGTAGTAGTAGTAGCAGCAGTAGCAGCAGTAGAAGTAGCAGTGAGTAGCAGTGAGTAGCAGTAAGTAGCAACAGTAGCAGTAGCAGTAGCAGTAGTAGTACTAGTAGTAGTAGTAGTAGTAGTAGTAGCAGCAGTAGCAGCTGTAGAAGTAGCAGTGAGTAGCAGTGAGTAGCAGTAAGTAGCAACAGTAGCAGTAGCAGTAGTAGTAGTAGTAGTAGTAATTTTTTTTGGCTCCCGCATGGCAGTGTCGCGCACGACTCCACAGAACGCAGGTACTCAGTAGCTCTCCGCCCCACGCCAAAACTCTGTACAAGTCTCTGTGGCCTCAGGAAAAGGTTCAGCCTCCAGACGACCCTAGTCAAGTCGCATCTAAGATCACAGCACGATCAAACATCAGACAACTTAACAGTACATAGTAGTGGTAGTAGTAGTAGTAGTACTACTACTACTACTACTACTAATAGCAGTGGGTGACTAGTAGTAGCAGTAGTAGTAGTAGTAGCAGCAGCAGCAGTAGTAGCAGCAGCAGCAGGAGTAGCAGCAGTAGCAGTAGCAGTAGCACCAGCAGTAGCACTAGCA